ATAGTATTCCATTGTGTGAATATACCACAGCTTCTCTATCCATTCGTTTGTTGATGGGCACCTGGGTTGTTTCCAACTCCTTGCTATTGTGAACAGAGCTGCGATAAACATGGGTGTGCAGTGTTACAGACTTTTTGCACTTTTCTAGAAGGACTCTGTGTACCCTTAACATTTCAGGAAATTGTAACATGTAAGAGCTCTTGACCTGTAAAACAACAGACTTGTAACTCCAAGTACAAAATACATGATTAGGGGAACTGATTCAGATTTGTGGCTTAAGTTTATATATATTATTTCGGGAATGCTTATAAGAACCTTGGGTTTGTGCTATGTCACAGGCTTAACTTACTAAAGGTAAAAGAATTGTTTATAGCCAAAAATGTTTTGTTGTTGTTGTTTCTATTGTTTAGTTAGTTCAGACGATTGATCATCTTGGAAAAGAAATAGAATGTACTTAAATTACACATATAATCTTCTTTTAAAGTTTAAAATGTTTTTAAGTTGGACCAAATCCATTGAAAAGCGTGACATAAGTTTGCCAGATTTAGCAAATAAAAATACAGATTACCATTTAAATGTTAATATCAGGCAATTAAAATTTAATTGGAGAACACATATTATATTGTACAATCTTAGCGGTGTTCTCAAGTAGAATAAGAATTTTGTAAAGTATACTTTAAAGCATGACGTTTACCAAGGTAATAGCCAATGTCTGAGGAAAGCTTTCCATTTGTAGCATCAGAAGTAAACTAACATAAAAAAAAAGAAGTAAACGAACATAAAAGATAAAGAGTGTAAACTAAGCGCTTTTAACTTTAAGAACTTGATTATTAATTTAGAATTGAAAGTAAATATCTGAACAGTGGTTTCTGCAAATAGAAACTCTCCCTGGGGACTTAAAAACAGTTTCACATCAACTGGTTGAAGAAATTGAATTCATTTTGTAATTAACATATTCTTTGCATAAAATTCTATATTTAAAAAGTGCCTGTCAATCACAAAAGGACAACTAATATATGACCTCATTTATATAAAAATGCAAGACTAGGTGAAACTATAGAGCCCAAATGCTATGATTAGTCACAAGAGACAGAGGGAGGGGGAGAGGGAAAGAGCATAAGAAGCATTAGATTTCCATTTACGGTGATGGAAAATGCACTATGATTAAGAATAATAGTTACACTTTCGGCTTTCGGCTTGGAGGAGGCCTTGGTGCAACTTTCTTCTGTTATCCCGCATTTGGATTCATCCGACACCAGCCACCTCTGCCATGCTGCCCAAGTTCAACCCCAACGATATTAAAGTCATGTACGTGAGGTGTACCAGTGGGGAAGTCGGTGCCATGTCTGCTCTGGCCCCCAAGATCGGCCCTCTGGGTCTGTCTCCAAAAAAGGCTGGTGATGACATTGCCAAGGCCACCAGTGACTGGAAGGGACTAAGGATTACAGTGAAACTGACCATTCAGAACAGACTGGCCCAGATTGAAGTGGTGCCTTCTGCCTCTGCCCTGATCATCAAAGCCCTGAAGGAACCACCCAGAGACAGAAAGAAGAAGAAAAATATTAAGAACAGTGGAAATACCCCTTTGATGAGATTGTTGGCATTGCCCGGCAGATGCGACATCGGTCTTTAGCCAGAGAACTCTCTGGAACTGTTAAAGAGATCCTGGGAACTGCCCAATCTGTGGGCTGCAATGTTGACGACCCTCACCCTCATGACATCATAGAAGACCTCAACAGTGGTGCTGTGGAATGCCCAGCTAGCTAAGGAACTACAGATGAAAATATTTCAACAAAGGATCATTTGTTAACCAATGGGGGAAAAAAGAATAATAGTTACACAGCCTTTTAATGTAATTAAAGTCAATAAGTTGGGGTGGTTGTTATGTAAAGTTGAGTCGACTACAACTCAGGGATCCTATACACAATAGCTCTGAGCCCAGCCCTGTCCCTGCCCAATCTCACTGTCTCTGACTCATGACCCCAGTTACTGTGTCAAGCTATTTCTTTTGGAGTCTTCCTCTCCTGTGTTGCCCCTCAACCTGTAAAAAGTCAAATGGGCATATATTGTATGATAGATATTTTTCTTTCTTTCTTTTTTTTGGTGAGAAAAATTTGTATTTAGAATTAGCCAGCTGGACTCAGTTGAGATGATCCCAATTTTGTTGGCAATATCCAAAGCATCATAGTCAGGAGCAAGTCAAACATAGGCCTTCTCTCCATCAGGCCTAATCAAAGTGTTGACCTTAGCCACATCAATGTCACAGAGCTTCTTTGCAGCTTGTTTAATTTGGTACTTGTTGACCTTAACATCCACAATGAACACAAGTGTGTTGTTATCTTTTATCTTCTTCATGGCTGACTCAGTGGTCAGGGGAAGTTTGATGATGGCATAGTGGTCAAGCTTGTTTCTCCTGGGGACGCTCTTCCGGGGGTATTTGGGCTGCCTTCAGAGTCTCAGCGTCTTAGGCCGCCAGAAGGTGGGTGATGTGCAGATCTTCTTCTTTTTTTTTTGGCTGTGGATGCCATTCAGGACTTCAGGATGCCTTCTTGGCCTTTAATGCCTTTGCTTTGGCTTCAGTTTTGGGAAAGGCAGGG